TGTAGTTATAATCAAGATGGCCCATTTCAGACAGTTGACAAAAAGGTGTAAGGATACTTAACATGGGGAAATAGATTCAATTTGTGTAATGACCCAGTCACTCCCAGTCTCTATTCAAGCCAAAGTTAATGGTATCTAGTTTGCATATTAATTCCAGTTCAGCAGTTTCTTATTGGAGTCTATTTTTGAAGCTTTTTCTGTTGCAAAATTGCCACCTTTAAGTCTGTTACTGAGTGATCAGAGAGGTTGAAGTGTTCTGCTACTGGTTTTTGAATGTTATGATTCCTGATGTCAGATTTGTGTCCATTTATTCTTTTGCGTAGAGACTATCTGGCAGGAACGCACATAGGAGATATGGAAGTAGGAATGCATCCGCGGCGTAGCCTGGGCTGTGATTCAGGAAGGAGCAGAATAGCTGACACTTCCTGTTGCTTCGTGTGCTGAACAGGTTTATTTGGAGAAAGCCCCAGAGATCGAATATTGAGCTTCCGGCCAGAGGGACCACTTGTGGCCATGAAAAGAGTGGCTGAGACTGTCCGCCAGCTTGTTCTGTATCCCAGGGAGATGAGATGCTTACAGGTGTATCACAGTGCTCTACAGAGAAGTCCCACAGCATGAGGGTTTCCTGGCACAGGGAAGAGGAGCGTACATCCCCATTTGTTGATACAGAACACTGCTGTAGTGTTGTCCGTGAGGACTGATACACATCTCCCTGATATATGGATTCTGAAAGCCTGGCACGCCAGGCACACCGCTCTCAGTTCTCTGACATTGATATGCAGAGAGAGGTCTACCTGAGACCAGAGGCCTTGTGTCCTGAGATCTCCCAAATGTGCCCCCCATCACAGATCTGAAGCATCTGTCACTAATGAGAGGGATGGCTGGGGGCTGGTGAAGGGTACTCCTGCACAAACTACCTGTGGGTCGAGCACCACAGGAGGGAGTTTAGTATTGGGCGAGGCAGGGTTACAATGCTGTCCAAGGTGTCTCAAACTGGTCGATATACTGACGCTAGCCATGACTGGAGCGGGCGAAGCCTGAGTATGGCATGCTGTACTACGTAGGTACAAGGGCCATATGCCCCAGAAGTTTCAGGCAGTTCCTTGCTGTAGTGGTGGGGAACTGCCTGAGGCCCCGTATGATGTCACCCAGTGACCGAAATCTGGCTTCTGGGAGGTATGCCCTGGCTTGAGTCAAGTCTAGCACTGCCCCTATAAACTCTATCCTCTGCACTGGGGACAGTGTCAATTTGGCCTCGTTTAGAAGGAGACCCAGTTTGACGAACGTCCTTCTTATGAAGCCGACCTGCTCTTCCATTTGAGATCTGGAGTGGCCTTTGATCAGCCAGTCGTCGAGGTACAGTAAGGCTGGTATGTGGGCCAAGGGCGGGGTATAAAGGCCCAGTGCCTGGAGAGTGGCACAAGAGTCTTTGAGGGAATGCAAAAACTCATCCATTTTGTCACTGAACAACTTGTTGTTGTCGAAGGGGAAGTCCTCATGGGTGGTCTGGACCTGTTTTGGGAAGCTGCTAGACTGGAGCCAGGGAGTCCTGGTGAAGGATGACTCTGGATGCCAGCGAGTGGGACGCAGTATCGGCAGCATCAACCGTGGCCTGGAGAGCCACCTTGGCCACCAACTTACCCTGATCTAGGAGATGTTGGAAGTCCTGCTGTTTCTCTTGGGGGAGGAAGGCCTGGAAGTCCACAAGGTTGGAATATGAAAGGAAGTCATACTTGGCCAGGATGGCCTAGTAGCTGGCAGTATGAAACTGGAGGCCAGCGGAGGAGTAAACCTTGTGGCCCAGGAGGTCCAACTTCTTGGTGGCCTGATCAGGGGGTGTGGACTGCAGGTGGTGCTGGCAGTTATGCTTGGTCACGGCTTGGACTACCAGCGAGTTGTGAGGCAGGTGGGTGAAAAGAAAGTCCCTGCCCTTGGAGGGCACGAAGTATCGGTGTTCCGCCTGCTTTAGTGTAGAGGCACAGGAGGCTGGAGAGTGCCAAACGGTCTGGGCCAGCTGCAGGAGGGCATCATGGATAGAGAGGGCAGTACATGAGAGTCCACGGGGTTGTAGGACGTCCAGGAATTAATCCTGTGGGTCCTGGATATCTTCGACAGGCAGATTGAGGGCCATGGCCATACGTCGAAGTAAGTCCTGGTACTGCACATGGTCAGCAGGGAAAGAGAGAGTGGGAGGAATGATGGCATCATCTGAAGACAAGGAGGTGCCTGTATAGACTGGAGGTAGCAAAGATACCACCAGTACCGACGAAGCGGGGATGGCTGGACGTTCCTTGAAGACAGAGGGAGGGGCTGTGTGTGACGGAGATGGTTGGTGCTGTGAGCGAGATGGCATCCCACGCTCATGGCAGGGGTTCCAGGCTGCCCAGTAGGGCCAGGCGTAGGGGTTGCCAGGCAACAGCGGCACCCGCGGGCAGTGGAACCATGGGTTGGCCAGCGGAGCATACACCAGAGGGTATGGTTGGCACCAAGGGTACAGGCTTTAGGACCATGCAGGTGAAAAGGTGGGGTCTGGTAGGCAGGACCGCTCGGAATCGGACGACAGGTCTGGTAGGGATAGAGCCATTGGGACTGTCGGTGCAGGAAAGGTGGGATGGTCCAGGAGCAACAGAGGCACACCTGTGGAAAGGCCTGGGGGAGAAGTGTGGAGCGGAGTGAGAGGCTGGAGCAGGAGCAGCTCGTCCGTGGGAGATGGTAGGCGGAGAGCAACTGGAGGCCTGGAGTGGGCAGGGGAGCCTGCACAGAACAGCATGAGCTCAGCTGTTGGTGTGAGGGGGGACAAATGTCCCGGTGTGCACAGCACCGAGCGGACAAGTCCGGATGGGCATGGCGGAGTTGACAGAGGCAGGGGCGATGGTGGTGGGCCAGTCACCATGTCTGGTGGTGGTGCTGGTGGAGGGCGGTGCTTGAACTTGTGCTCAGAGCGGGACTTCTTCGGAGCAGGAACATCCGGGTCAACATACAACTTCTCAGCCGACCTGGCACAGCTTGTGGCGGCAACATTGCATTTGGGGGCAGTCCCTGTCAGGGAGCCACTCTTGTACCCACGAGTGGGCTTTTGGCAGGTGCACCGGTGCCATCAATGCCAGTCAGGAAGGGCGTGGGGAGGTGCTCACTGCCAGTGTTGAATGTCATTCCAGAGGATCAGTGAGCCCCGAAGCCAGGAGTGCATGTGCTTGCGGAGGCAGAGTTCTCTGGCCTCCCAGGTGCGCGGTGGGAACGATCAGCAGATGGAGCAGCGGGCAGCGACGTGAGCCTCACCAAAGCAATAAAGACAACGTTGGTGCTTGTCACTCACAGAGAAGTAGCATGGGCATGAAGCACAGTGTTTTAATCCTACTGCCAGGCCATAGTCTCCGGGCAGGGGGGGAGTCCCCAGAGGGGAGAAGTCCAACAGAAAACTAACTAACTGATGATGAACAAACGGACAACAAACAACTAAAACTAGAAGAAAACTGTACAACGAACAGAAGCAGTTCTCTTAGCAAGCTAAGAGCACTGAGGAACTGGGGTTGCGACTCTGGCCACGTGGCAATAAGAGGGAACTGGAGTGACGTCGACTCGCACAGCCTCTTAAAGCCTCGGCTGCGCCAAGCAGTGATGCACGATCCATGTGCAGGTCAATGGACACCACTATTAACAGTTCTTGCTGTTCCTGCCATGTGCATGCTCACCCATGTTTAGAATCCACATAGGGACCATCACTTGAACAAGAATTAGAGTTTCCATTTGTTTAATGCTCATTTTTAAATGTGCTGTTCTTGTCACATATTTCGTATAAGGGTTCTCTTATTTCTCTTTGTGTTTGGTCTAATTTTACATTGTAAATTCTTCAGCCATTGGGCTACTTCTTTTACACATTTAGTGAGGTGCATAGCAGTTTTGGGTGAGACATAAATAATTATTGTTATTTATTGTAGCCATATTAAATTTAATTTAAAGTTTTTTTGGAGGGAGCTATTAATGATAAGATAGTGGTTTACCATAGCATACAGTGTAATAATCTAACTAGTAATTGAAAATCCTACCTAAGTACAATGTGGGAAGTTAGTATTACACAAAAAAAAGACTGAAATTTCTCAGTTACTGATTTTTGAATATTTAAACTGGCATCTTCAATATCGCAGTAATAGGGCTTGGCATTTAATCTCCTTTTTTATTGTTTTAAGGAAATTAAAATCAAGCAAAAGTTATATTGAGACACTGTGGGATTGTGTAGCTGTGTTTTGTACAACTTCATAGGATTTAATTTCATAGCCAGAGGGCCCCAGCTCAGCCCTACACCCCAAACTCATCATCTGATCATAGCACTTTAGTTATCAACTCCATGCAGACAAGTCAAATATACATCTGCATTCAGGACTTCTGCAAGGAAGGGAAAGTGTCTTTATTTGTTTCTGTGAACCATTATTATTCATTATTCTACTGCAGTAAAACCTAGACTTCCCAGTCAAGGATCAAAACTTCATTGTGTTGGGTGCTATAGTCATGAAATAAAAGGCAGTCCCTGGCCAAGGCGAAAACACAATAGGTGGACAAAATAAACAGTGTTTTTCATTAAAAACAGTAGTCAGACTTGCCCTCTAACTAGTCATTATCACCTGGCACCTTTTTGTACACATCAAGGCAAAGGTGAGTCTTAAAGGGGGATTTGTATGGCAAAGCACCTACCATGCTCTTAGGTGCTCAAAATAGCAAATAAAATACTTTACCAATTTTTTAGTAAAGCTACATGGATCAGATCCGTTCAAAAATATTTGTTAAAACCTTTGTGAACTACAAACACTTCTCTCACATGACAATTTTTCTAAAAGATCTGCTCTAGGAATTATTTTGGGGACGTTCTATGGCTTGTGTTATACAGGAAGCCAAACTAGATGATCACAATGGTCCCTTCTGTCCTTGGAATCTATGAATCTGAAAATGCACAGCTCAAGCCCGTGCTCCACTGCCTCCTCTTCCCTCCCAGAACCCCTGCTCACCTTGAGATCCCTGCTCTGGGATCGGAGAAGGTCTTGAATGTATCCTTTGGGATCTTTGGAGAAACTGAGCATGAAATCACGTTGTATCTTTAGCTGGTTTATAGATTCGATTGTCTCATGAATCTGAAAAGTAGAAGAAATAATATGGACGTTCTTGTATTTACGTGTCCCCAAGCCACAGTGAGTCTGAGTTTATCCTCCTCAGCCCATCTGTAATTCATATGAAACACAGAACTGTCATTTTGACAAATTACAGTTATTAAGGATCCCAAGGCATCTTTCCCATGAATAAGCATGTTAACTCTGATATCTTGGCCATGTTCTGCTTTCCTGACTACTCGTACACTTCACCTAGATACAGAATTCTTCTTCACATCCTGCCCTAAACTGTTGGATAGTGTGAGGCATGCACTGTCAAAGAGCTAACTTATTTCACTGGAGGATGCAGTGATTCCTGTGTTCACTGAGCGAGTTTGCTAAGTCTGTAAAATATTTTGGGATCTTTCTGGATGAAAGATGCTATATAAATATGTAATTAGAATTGTTTCTATTAAAACAAAGCAACAAATATAGGCACTGATGCAGGAAAACACTAAAGCACAAGGGGCCACAACAGTGGTACCCTTAACTCACCCAACAATATTGTTAATCTATCCAGCTATACTCTTAGCCCGGCAGAAGAGTCTGTCCTATCTCGGGGCCTCTCCTTCTGCCCCACCACCCCCACGAACATGATACAGTTCTGCGGTGACCTAGAATCCAACTTTTGCCACCTCCGACTCAAGGAATATTTCCAACACACCACTGAACAGCACACTAACCCACAGAAACCTTCCTACCAACGCTACAAAAAGAAGGATTCTGCGTGGACTCCTCCTGAAGGTTGAAACAACAGACTGGACTTCTACATAGAGTGCTTCTGCCAGCGTGCATGGGCTGAAATTGTGGAAAAGCAGCATGACTTGCCCCATAACCTCAGCCGTGCAGAACACAACACCATCTACAGCCTCAGAAACAACTCTGACATTATAATCAAAAAGGCTGACAAAGGAGGTGCTGTCATCGTCATGAATAGGTCGGAATATGAACGAGAGGCTGCTAGGCAACTCTCAGGCCATTACCTTCTGATTCCACTGAGGGGTACCAAAAGAAACTGCACCATCTGCTCAAGAAACTCCCTGAAGAAGCACAGGAACAAATCTACACCACCCCTAGAGTCCCGACCAGGGGTATTCTATCTGCTACCCAAGATCCATAAACCTGGGAATTCTGGACGCCCCATCATCTCAGGCATTGGCACCCTGACAGCAGGATTGTCTGGCTATGTGGACTCTCTCCTCAGGCCCTATGCTACCAGCACTCCCAGCTATCTTTGAGACACCACTGACTTCCTGAGGAAACTACAATCCATTGGTGATCCTCCAGAAAAAAACATGCTAGCCACTATGGATGTAGAAGCTCTCTACACCAACATTCCACACAAAGATGGACTACAAGCCGTCAGGAACGGTATCCCTGATAATGTCACACCAAACCTGGTAGCTGAACTTTGTGACTTTGTCCTCATCCACAACTATTTCAGATTTGGGGACAATTTATACCTTCAAGTCAGTGGCACTGCTATGGGTACTAGCATGGCCCCACACTATGCCAACATTTTTATGGCTGTCTTAGAACAACGCTTCCTCAGCTCTCGTCCCCTAGCACCCCTCCTCTACTCGCGCTACATTGATGACATCTTCATCATCTGGACCCATGGGAAGGAGGCCCTTGAGGAATTCCACCAGGATTTCAACAATTTCCACCCCACCCTCAACCTCAGCCTGGAGCAGTCCACACAAGAGATCCACTTCCTGGACATTACAGTGCTAATAAGCGATGGTCACATAAACACCATCCTATACTGGAAACCTATTGACCGCTATACTTACCTACATGCCTCCAGCTTTTATCCAGACCACATCACACGATCCATTGTCTACAGCCAAGCTCTAAGATACAAACGCATTTGCTCCAATCCCTCAGACAGAGACAAACACCTACAGGATCTCTATCAAGCGTTCTTAAAACTACAATACCCACCTGGTGAAGTGAAGAAACAGTTTGACAGAGCCAGAAGAGTACCCAGAAGTCATCTACTACAGGACAGGCCAACAAAGAAAGTAACAGAACGCCACTAGCCGTCACCTACAGCCCCCAACTAAAACCTCTCGAGCGCATCATCAAGGACCTACAACCTATCCTGAGGGACGATCCCTCACTCTCACAGACCATGGGAGACAGGCCAGTCCTCGCTTACAGACAGCCCCCCAACCTGAAGCAAATACTCACCAGCAACTACATACCACACAACAAAAACACTAAGCCAGGAACCAATCCCTGCAACAAACCCCGTTGCCAACTCTGTCCGCATATTTATTCAAGGGACACCATCAAAGGACCTAATCACATCAGCCACACCATCAGGGGCTCATTCATCTGCACATCTACCAATGTGATATATGCCATCATGTGCCAGCAATGCCCCTCTGCCATGTACATTAGCCAAACCGGACAGTCTCTACGCAAAAGAATAAATGGACACAAATCAGACATCAAGAATTGTAACATTCAAAAACCAGTAGGAAAGCACTTCAAGCTCCCTGGACACTCAATAACAGACTTAAAAGTTTCAATTCTTCAAGAAAAATACTTCAAAAACAGACTTCAATGAGAAACTGCAGAACTGGAATTAATTTGCAAACTAGACACCATCAAATTAGGCCTGAATAAAGACTGGGATTGTTTAGTCTGCAGAAGAGAAGAGTGAGGGGGGATTTGATAGCAGCCTTCAACTATCTGAAGGGGGGTTCCAAAGAGGATGGAGCTAGGCTGTTCTCAGTGGTGGCAGATGACAGAACAAGGAGTAATGGTCTCAAGTTGCAGTGGGGGAGGTCTAGGTTGGATATTAGGAAACACTATTTCACTAGGAGGATGGTGAAGCACTGGAATGCGTTACCTAGGGAGGTGGTGGAATCTCCATCCTTAGAGGTTTTTAAGGCCTGGCTTGACAAAGCCTTGGCTGGGATGATTTAGTTGGTGTTGGTCCTGCTTTGAGCAGGGGATTGGACTAGATGACCTCCTGAGGTCTCTTCCAACCCTAATATTCTATGATTCTATGACTGGGAGTGGTTGGGTCACTACAAAAAGCAATTTTCCCTCTGTTGATACTCACACCTTCTTGTCAACTGTTGAAAACAGGCCACTTCCACCTTGATTGAATTGGCCTTGTTAGCACTGACCCCTCACTTGGTAAGGCAACTCCCATCTTTTCATGTGCTGTAATATATATACTGCTTACTGTATTTTTCACTCCATGCATCTGATGAAGTGGGTTTTAGCACACGAAAGCTTATGCCCAAATACATTTGTTAGTCTCTAAGGTGCCACAAGGATTCCTCGTTGTTTTTACTAAAGCAAATGTTAAACTTGAAGCATGACCTTGAGTGCCACTGACTTTAGTGGATCTAAAGAATATGTTCAATTGTTTCCTGAATCAGGTCTACAGAGAGCAAAAAATTACATAAACATATATATGGGCCAATCCCTGCCTCTGTTCTTGCGTGGGCAGGCCTATTGAAGACAACAAGACTACTCATACAAGAAGAGCAGGATAGTGGAGCAAGGAGCAATCAGCAGCATTGGAAGTTTATAAAGAACTCATTGTATAAACATTGTTCAAAAACGAGATTGTTTTTCTGATCCAATTACAAAATTAGTAAAGGAAGAGAAAACATTAACTGTGATACAGCAGAATTTCAGGAAGCATGATACATTCATTTAAAGTGGGCTTGGCTGGCCATAGGAAAGTGGCTGAAGAAACATAAATAATAAGTAATAAGGGCATTGAATGCTGCTTTCCCTACTCTGGGCTACCAAATCACTGTCCTTTTGCACTTTTTTCATGATGCTCATCATATGCGAGTCACTGTGACATGAAAGAAACTCAAGTCTGGATGCAGAATATCTCTGTTATTTTGCAATACTCCATTTGGAAGCAGAGGTAAAGTCTCGGTCTGGGAGTTGACAGGTTCAGGAGGTCTGGAAACCTAAAATGTCTCAGCCAGACTCGGGCTCTGAAGATCATCCTGTTTGACCTTGTAGAGCACTCTAGGAATCATAGGGAAAGGGGGTAGGCATACACCGAAGCTTATGATCACGGGATTAGGAATGCGTCAGGTAGGAAACCTCTGGAAGAGAACATCTGACACTTCTTGTCTTCTATCGTGCACAGGTCCACTAGAGGGCGGCCTCATCTGAGAAGATGTTCTGAAGAATGGTATTCTTGATTTCCCATTCACAATTGGGGGAGAAGTATCTGCTAAGATTGTGTGCTAAAATGTTCTACACACTAAGTAAATGTACAGCTGATAGAAAGTTCTAATATCTGTTGCGCTAGTTCCAGTCTGATGGCTTCCTGGCAGAGAGGGAAAAAACCTCTTGCCATCCAAGACTATGGTGGTCATGTTTTCGGTCATTATTTGGATTGTCTATTCCTTGATTTACTGGAGAATGGATTTGAATGCTTTGAACACAGCTCTGAGCTCCAGAAGATTGATGTGCATTTTTGTTTTCATTGCAGTCCATAGGTCTTGTACACCAAGGTCTTCCATGCATATTTCCCAACCCAGAAGTAAAGCATCTGTTACTAAGGTCCTGGATGGGAGAAAGGGGCGGAAGGAGACCCCTCTGCAGGCATTTGCGAGGTCCTTCCATAATTTCAGGTATGACATGAGTAGAGGGAACTCACAGAGAGGCATGTCTAGATGACGTCTGGTGAGTTTGTAAACCTATCTCAACCAACCTCACATGCAATTGAGGTGAATGTGTCACAAAGGTACAGGAGGCCACATGAACAAGAGTGGTGAGACACATCCTTATACATCCGTATCTGGGTTTGATTCTAACTGTAGAACTGGCGCCAGCAAGTTCTTGAACCTGTCCTGAGGGAGGTAGGGCGTGGATCTTGTGGAGTCCAGGATCACACTGATGAATCTGATTCACTGGACTGGGGGAGAAATGGGGCGGTGCCAAGTTCATTTTCTGCACATTCACTTTCATACCCAGGCTCTGGAACGGAGCAT